CCCCAAAACCCCAAAACCCCAAAACCCCAAAACCCCAAAACCCCAAAACCCCAAAACCCCTAAGCTAGGCAGTGGGATTGGCCTAGATTAATGAACTTTTCAAGTATTTTAAACTGGTCTTTGGTAGGTGTCTAGCCTATGGATTATTATAGAGAGATATGTGGTTAGTAGATTTCTTCCTCTTCTAGGTCTTCTTCTTCATCCTTGTTCTCGTTTTTGTCCTTGTCTACAGTCTCTCCTTCCTTGTGATCGTCTCCGTTACTCTCTTTCTCCTTTTGGTTTCTGTCCTTGGTGTCGTTGTCTTTGTTCTCTCCTTCTTTGTTCTCTTCTGCTGGGAGGATTCTTTCTTCACTTTCTTCAACATTCTCGTCCTTTATTTGGGGCTTGACTCTTTTAGGCTTACTCTTTGAGAAGCCGATGAAAAATCAGATCAGTGCTCCGATGAAGATCAATCCGAAGAAAACGAAAAATATTATGGTATTTGCTAGAGCTAATTTGTACCAGTCTGTATCTGTACAATCTTCCTCTGCAATCCAGACTATTCCTACAATGTGGAAAATCATCCCTCCGAATAAGCAGATCATGTATACTAATCCTGTGAAAGGATAAGCTATCTTTGAAAGAGTGAAGATAATTTGAGCATACAGAGCTAGTAGCACCCATATAACAACAGTTGAGCCTGTCAAATGACCCTCCATATGATCATTGACGCTGCTAGTGCTCTTTCCTGCAGCTAACGCTGCTATCTTTTTAAGAGCTACTCATTTAGCATGTTCGTCTTGCTGAATTAGCAGTAAAAGTCCATTTATGATTCCAAAGACAAAGAAAATGATGCTTGGAATTGAAGCAACGAGCAGAACACTCTCTGTTAAGACATAAAGCAGCCTATATTTCACTTGAGGCTGGTCATGATCATTGTCAACTAGATTGTCCTTTTCTGCATGATCATTAGGGTTTTCTCTTTCTGTTTGAGACATTAAATTATTTTAGTTCTCAATAAAATTTTAAATTAGGGGTTTTGGGGTTTTGGGGTTTTGGGGTTTTGGGGTTTTGGGGTTTTGGGG